TAGATAAATCACAAGTGGTAGTAGTCACTTCAATACAGGAACTTTTACATTCACAGATGTGCACGATTAAGAAAAATCTGTTCCCGTCCTTGACTAGATTCTATTGCAGACATTGTATTGTTATCATTTTTCTTTCAGAGAACGTCTGTTTTCCAGGACTAACATTTTCTACGAGTAAGAACTTTGAAAGAACGACAAATAACTTTTATGTAACCGCTCGTGTTATTCCCCTCTATTCTATTGCAGACATTGTATTGTTATCATTTTTCTTTCAGAAAACGTCTGTTTTCCAGGACTGACATTTTCTACGAGTAAGAACTTTGAAAGAATGACAAATAACTTTTATGTAACCGCTCGTGTTATTCCCCTTTATTCTATTGCAGACATTGTATTGTTATCATTTTTCTTTCAGAGAACGTCTGTTTTCCAGGACTAACATTTTCTACGAGTAAGAACTTTGAAAGAATGACAAATAACTTTTATGTAACCGCTCGTGTTATTCCCCTCTTTGGTTAACGAGAGAGAAGAAGAAGAAGAGAGAGAGCATGTATGCAAGTCAGGGTTAGTTCTAATTTCTTGTGATCCAAATAAAAATCCACAAAAAATATGACAGTAGAAAAACCTTAATGTTAAGATGTACATTTCTAAGTTCAACATTTTCCTAGCAACATGTTTGAAATAAACTACTAATACGCAATGCTGCCACGCCTATGCAATGTAAATTCTGTTATGTTTATCGCCAAGTTCTCGTGTGAACATTCTTATGATCATCAGTAGTATTTTATTTAATTTACATATTTAATTAAACTTTCAACTCTCTCTTTACCATTTTTATCTCTGCATCTAAAATGTCTATCACTAATACGGCAATTTTTCGTATTCCCAAATCATTAGGGTGTAGCTCACATTTGAAGAAACTTTTCTAGTAATTATTGAAATCTGTAGTTTTATTACTACTCTCTCTCCCTAATAAGCACCAACAGTATTAAGCCCACCAGCTGGATATCCTAATAAAAATGTAGTAATACTATTAATTCTTTTTTTTTTGCTTTTCACAAACAAATTAAAAACATTAAAAATAAATCCTACACATTTCAACATAAAAAAAATATGAATTTTTTTTACAGAAATACACTTTCAGTTATTAATTTTTTTTGTAGTTTTAGATTACTAAAAGATAATTACCAGTTTCTCATTTATTTCCACAGATCAACAAACATTAACTAGATATTTTGTTTTTAAATTCAAAACTTCCATATGAAAAACAAGTACCTATACATAACAGCAACTGATAGCACCTTTTCCCAACTATTCTATAAGCCCTCTGTTTTCGTTTTTATTTTTAATCATCCGCTTTACGAGGACAGCCACGCTCGCAATTGGCACAAAGTGAATGTTCCATTTTACCAGACATAAAGAATTGAGGGCTAAACCACTGCAAAGGCACAAGTGAATGAGTAACCACACAACACCAATTCATTGAATAGCAATACATACACATAATCATGATCCAAACCTTAAGGAACAAGTGGAAAATGGAAGCCTGCCCAGCTAATCAGTTTTTATAATTGTACAATACAGTCTTGAAAATGTATTACATTCTATTCATACCGATACACTGATATCAGTTGTATATATTTTATAGTTCTTTTTAAATTACACAAACTTATTATTTTCATTCTCTCTTTTTTTTTGTTGCCTGATTGAGAACCATTCTTTATGGGTTTAATCATTTGCATCTAAGTTGTCTGTATCAACCCATCATGTATTTAAATATACAATAAATCTGTATCAACTTCCAGGAAGTAACACCACTGGAAGGTCAAGGTTTTGGGGGAAAAAAAACCTTAACCCCGGATAAGGAGCACCTTCTAATTTCCCGTTTCACACGATCCTTAGGCCAGCAAATGCAGTCTCTAAAGCCTGGAAATATAAAATATGCAAAAATGGTCTTTTAGAACGTAGAAAACTCACATTTCTGTGAACTCTTTCCACCATCGTTCAATGCAACAGTCAGAAAGTGGAACTAATCTGTACTCTGATCTTTCCACCATCGTTCAATGCAACAGTCAGAAAGTGGAACTAATCTGTACTCTGATCTTTCCACCATCGTTCAATGCAACAGTCAGAAAGTGGAACTAATCTGTACTCTGATCTTTCCACCATCGTTCAATGCAACAGTCAGAAAGTGGAACTAATCTGTACTCTGAAGATCATATGGAAAAAGATGCAAAGGTTGTTGTTTTTAAACAACAAGAATGAAAAATTTTATAGTGCAATAAAATCATATGTGTTAAATGCATTATTTCATTAACCCCCCCCCCAAAAAAAAAACAACAACCCATAAGTTTTAGTG